TTCCCTTAAAACAATCGATACACTACAAATTGTGACTTATCCTTATTTACATTCTTATTTAGTAAAGTAGTTTCTCTAATGACTGCTTCTAGGCAACATTTTATTAGCCTAGTGTGAGGTACTGAACATACTCAGGAGGGAAAAAGATAGCATTGACTTCAACATGGTCATTAATTCAGGACGTTCCCTTTTAGTTAGTTCAAAATAGGCGGGGGTTGCTAAACCTATTATTTATTCTCCCTGCTTCAATGCACCCATTTAAAATCCCCCAAATTATACAAACACAGAAAACCCGAAACCTCTTTCCTTTTAGAAGTACTACCAGAAGATACTACAAAATGTAAGATGTGTAGTGTTTCTGAGTTTGGGATATTGATTCTAACAAAGAGGTGAAAGGGACAGTTAATTTACTACTATTTTCTAAAAGGTCATTACAAATAATTAAGAAAAAAATTAAAGTGTATTTTTCTAAAAAGATTCCTGTCCTTTTGTCCTTGGCAATGATGCATAGTTATTGAATATGATGTAATACAAATTTCATCTCCACTTGTTAATCTGTGGTATTTAACCAGTGACAGCCTTTGAAAATTGTCAGGGACATAGGTACTATAGGGGTTTAAAATGTTCTTGCCTCTGTGTGTGTGTGTGCTGTGTATGTGTCTGTGTGAAAGCTTTCATGGGTGTAGATAACTCAATTTCCTTGCTGTCTGAAGCTGAAGGAGATGGGAGGGCAATGAAAAGCTTCCTGTTTACCTTGTCCCTTGTTTAGACAGGGCAGCCATAGCAACATGGCAACCATAACCATATAAACACAGTATCTCCTTATCAATGATTCATTCGAGAAACCTCTGAGTTGAGTTTCAAGTCTCCCTTCCTTCAATGCCTAATTCCAGGGCATAAATTGCAGGCTGTATCAGACCAACAGAGTATTACATTGTTCAAGGGAAGTATGGCCTTCCTTTCAAGCCCTCATTGCAGCAGCTTCTTTGCTCTCTTACCAACTCCTGATATTCGATGGCTTCAAATTGTGATCACTAGTTGAGATCATGGTCACTATATAACTTCCCTTATGATATTGTATGTAATAGTATATTTATTTTCCTTCTACTCCCCTAACAAGACCTATCTAGACCTTTGGTGAAAATATAGCTAAATTGAAAATAACTCCTAATTATTATTATTATTTTTTATTATTTTTATTTTTTTCACTGTTGTGGCCTCTCCCGTTGCGGAGCACAGGCTCCGGACGCGCAGGCTCAGCAGCCATGGCTCACGGGCCTAGCCGCTCCGCAGCATGTGGGATCCTCCTGGACCGGGGCACGAACCCGTGTCCCCTGCATCGGCAGGCGGACTCAACCGCTGCGCCACTAGGGAAGCCCACTCCTAATTATTTTAAAGTCATTTTATTTTATCTTTGTTGTTGATGGGGAGCAAGGAATTCAGAATTCATAATATCCTTCAATATATATCTTTATGTCTATCTAGCTAGCTAGCTGTTTAACTTAATTCCATATGAGGAATCATGGGTAATCTGGCAAAGGACTGCTCAACTTAATGTATATGGACGTAGGTAGCACTTTACTGATCTCTGATCACTGAAGAGGACTTTCCCAAGGGACCTTTATTATTAATGAGTGGAGATAATTTGGGAAAGGGGGAAGATTTCCCCGTGATTTTTTCATGACTCAGTCTCCTTTACTAATAAGCATGATGCTATCATCCCACCATGAGTGATTTTTAAGCTGCTTCTTTAGCAGTGGTGATGGATTGGTGTTAATTCTTTCATGATTTCTTTTCCATATGTCTGCCCAAAGTGAGATTTATAATCTTGGTCTCACAATGCATTATTCTAAACAAATGGACCAAATAGACCCTACATTGACTGCAGAAACAAAAAAGGGGGATTTTCCTAACATGTGACTTTATGACCTATACCCACTGCTTTTGCTCTTTTCTGACAATGCTGTATGAAGAGATAAAGAAGAAGACAACAGTTAAAAAAAAGAAAATTATGGGGACATGAAGGATGTCTATTCAAGTATTCAGGAACTATTTATTAAGGGTTTTCAGGCATTTAATATTAGTAGTCATCAGTTCATAAGTTTTTCTTCTCCGGAGACTATAAACTTTTGAAGGCAGGAATTGTATGTCCTATTTATATTTATTTATATTGGTATTTCCAGCACTGAGCACAGTATATAAAACATGGGTGCTTGATGTATTTCAGTTGAGTGAATATTAGTGGGATTAGGCACTGTGAGAATATAATGATTAACTGTGCCTGTCATATACATAACACTTCAGGTTAACATCTGTGATAAAAAGCAAAGGAAAGAAGTGAGAAACTTTATAAGGAAAGAACTGTTAGCACATGGTGTAAGGCTGATGAGTCATTAATTCATGTTAGTTTGATTTCCTCCAGGAAAAGACCCCGAGAAAGGGTTTGAGTATAGAAGGGTATTGATTAGGAGGTGATTCCAGGAGACACTAGAAAAACAGAAGGGAAGGCAGCCATTAAAAGGGTACATTATCATGCAAACTCCCACTGTAGGTAACTTGAAGCTTAGTGCCCTAAGGGAATTCAGGGAGACAGACTAGAACAAACACCTCAGAGTTACGCCCCTTCATAGCTAAGGGAACTGGAGTATTTATACACCAACTCTTAGCACTGGGTGGTTGGGAATGCACTTGTGGGACGTTGATTCCCTGGGACTTCTCACTTGCAATCACAGGTAAGAAACACGGGCTCCGAAGCCAGAGATTATTCTTGGCTAAGGAATGCAAGATTGGAATTTGCAAATAGGGTTAGCATGCAGTGTCCAACAGAAAGCAGATTCCATTATAAGTATTAGGTAAGAGATAAATAAAAATATTATTTTTATTTAAATTTATGTGTATTTTTAAATGATCACTACATTGTTTAAACCATAACTACTTTTTCAATTGCTTGGAGCTAACTACTTAATACATGGAACTGTGTAGTATTAATTCTGGTCTCGGTGCCAAAGAAGTATTATGAAACATTAACAGTGTCATGAACCAAGAAAGTTTGAGAACCACTAATCTACCTCTTCTTTTAATATCTGTGTGTGACCTGATGAGAGCAGTTTTTCCATGGGTAACATCTATGGGCTGTATGAGTCTATTAGAACAGACCTACCTTGGTCAGACTAAAGTTATTTGGGATTTCAGAAGCAGGACACATCTCACATGACTATCCACACACTGCATTTCTGTATAAATGGCAGACATATCAAATGTTGATGTGTTCTATGTCTCTGGTAAAAGAATACAATTTTTATGGATTATGTGGCCAATATTTTCTTTATGTTATCTTTGGACCTTGAAACGCCCAGGCCCCTTGACTTCAGAAGAGATTCTCAATCCTTTCTTGGCCTCTTTGCTCAGATTTAATAAGAAACTAGCTCTGGCTTGCAATCTTGCTGATTTTGTCTTTTAAATGGCTTATAAAGAAATATCTATATGCTTATATATGTAATATATCTGTCATGACAAATGTGTAGGTCACTGTGATATGTGTTTTTAGTCCCATTCATTGCTCCAGTCTATATTTCCAACTGTATCTCTCTATTTGTCACATTTAAATTTTTTTACAATTTATAATTGTAAGTCATTAAAATAACTTCTGGAATAGGCAAGAAATATATTAAAAAGCACAGAGATGAATTATAACTAACAGAATAAAAATGAAGACATGACAAATTGATAAAATAATATCATAATCATAATAATCATAGGCATAACATGCCTATCGAATACTTATCACACACAGACCCTAGTGGTCTATACGTATGTGTTGATTTTATCCTAACAGCACCCTGACATGTGTGTTCTATATTATTATCTCATTTGGGGGTTATATCTATCTGGAAGCAAATGCTGCTGGTGCCCGGTTATATTCCTCAGGGCTTTACCATGTAATGCATAGAGTTCTGACTTCTACATGCCACACTCTGCTTGTCTTTGCCCAGCAGCTTTTTTGATAGTTGGAGCCAGGTCTGCCCTCTTGCAAAGCGAAAGGAGAATTAACACAACCTATGACTGCCCTCCTTCACTAATATTTCCTGGGATAATGTTCCAAACCAACTATTTGTGCTCAATCCTTATTTCAAGGTTCTGGAGGAACCCAAACTGAGACATATATCTGTACATTCACTTGTACATCCATGCATACATAATTATAAAACTGCCTTAAATTGGGGAACTAGATAAGATGTATATTTCTGGGACTGAGAAAGTATTGTCTCAGCCTTGCATGGAATTCTTCAGAAGGAGGGAACAGAGAGCAGAATGAACTTTATCTTCAGGAAAGGCACTAGCAATATAGACTCAAATTAGGACAAATAGCCAAATCCATTTTAGTCCTAAGTAGAGAAAACGGAGGAAGAAAGAGGTGACAGCATCTCATGAATTCATGGCTGTACCATACTGCAGTCACACAGCACAGACAGAGGAATAATAAAAACAGCTGCTTACTGATGGGGTGTTTTCCTATCAGTTGGCAAAATGATGTGACGAGACAATTAGTAAATTATTTAAGTCCAGTGTGCTGAGATCTGAGATGCTGGCAGCTATGTTATTGTGAGGGAACGGGTGGCAGGGGCTAGATTGGGTAGTCTATTCACATATACGTGAAACACACCCACACTCCAACTGATCCATATTGAGAGGTGAGAAGTTGTATTGGTCTAGAGAAAGTGGTAAGAGGGTTGTCCTGTTTTTAATCACTACAACATTTTTTTTTTGATGTTATGTCTCTCAGGTTCTGGCGTTTTAAGAATTGCGATTGACAGCAAACTTGAATGAGAATGAGGTTGCCCTCAGGTCCCCAACATATTCTGCTTTGTTTAACCTTATAAGATGCTTAATTTGAGGGTCATTTCACAATTTGCTCTAAAGGTTCCTTTTCCTTTCTGATTAGATTTCTATTTTATTGTAATTTAGGATATTTTATGGTGGTGGTGGGTGTGTGTGCGTATTTTAAAGTAAGGTACTGATATTATTCAATCTGATTGCTTGAAACTAGGTATGATTTCATCTGGCAGCCTGTTCAGAAGTGAATGGAAGCTGTGTGCTTCTCCACCAGAGTCATTACAGCGCATGCTGTGAGTGTGAATGTTCATTAGCATATTATGGATCTATAATTTCTGCTTAAAAAAAAAAACCCTACGGAAAGCAATTACCCAGCATGATAAGAGCCCTGTTTTAAACTTCAACATCTTCTCCACTTTCCTACTTTTTAGTCTGCCTTCTCCGTATCTCTGAATATTTGTTTTTAACTAAATAGAAAGATTGTATAGTTCAACATCTCTGACAGTGGGTCATTTGTACAGAGCTGGTTCACTGTCAGAGGCAAAATGGGTTAGGTGAAGCTGAGGCAGATTACCTAACAGCTCATTAAATGGCTAAAAAAATGCATGTTGTGGAAAAGTGCAGCTCTTGAAATACGAAGTGACCTCTCACATTTGCTGTGTGACTTTGAGATACTCAGTTAGCCTCTCGGAGCTTTATCTTACTGCCTTTCAATAGGATCGGTAAGGTCTGTCTTGCAGAGTGGCTGTGAACAGAAAAGAAGATAATGTATGGTAAAGAGCTTTAAAAAAGTTCAGAGGTGTACAAATAAAAGTTATTACTATCATTACTTTTTCAGCAGGCGGCAATCTACAAATTGTTTTAATGTGTATTGTTGAATTTGGCTTTCAGAAATGTCCTGTGGAACAGAAAGAGATACCCTCTATTGCACAGATGCGAATACTGAGGCTCTGTGAAGTCAGGAAGCACCAGGCATGCTCAATTTTACAACTTAAGAAACCGAAGAGGAATGGTTGGCTGCTGAATTTGGGATTCAAGTTTAAATTCTCATTTAAAGGTAATTATTTATATATGATAAATAACTACACACAGGTATGTGCACACACACACACATACACAGAGTAGGAGAGATTTCTAAAATGCCTTTCATTTGCGGCCCCACTGTGCCCTTTAAGATCAGATTTCATCTCACACTCAGACCCACCCGAGTCCCTTGAGTTACGCTGTGTGCAATGTTTTTACATGACTTCCCTTAAACAGAGCATTCAGTACAGATTCACTGATCAATGTTCTCTGCGTCTTGTTTCATTTTTTTCTTTGCCCTGGAGATTGCTATTGTGCTGGATGTAGGCATATTCTGGAAACTTCATTTAAAAATGAATAAATGTGTTTAATTGGAAAATAAGAACTGTTATGTTTTCACAGGCACTGGGCAGATACTTCCTTGCTAACCCTTATCCCCAGATCCTTTTTCTTTAATGTCACTCTCTGTAGAATTGCTTGATCAACCAAAGCGTGTCTCCTGATGAAAACAGACTGTTCCTCAAAGAACAAATTAAGGACTTTCAGTCCTGGAGGTAAAACACTGTGAGTTCATCATGCAGTGCTGTAAAATAAATGTGTTATGTGCCTGGCAACTCTGTCACACAATCAACAGGAAGCCTGAAATGCTGAGATGGGCTGATTTGCACATTTTCATGAGGTACTTGCAAATGCAATCAAAATAAGCCAATAGGATTTAGAACTTCTTGCTATGACTCAGCCTCTTAAACTTTGTTAAAAAAATCTCCTAACAAACCATTTATTTCCTACTGAATGAATATGTTGCATTTTTAAAAGCCATTTCAAATTCCAAGTTCTGTTTGGAAGTACCAGTGTACTTTAATAAGAATGAGTTCTGAAAGAGCCTAGTGGTGTAGCGCACAGAGCAGAGGAACTGCAGTCTTTAATCTCTATGATGTCCTTTCTCTTTCTCCCTCTTTTTCTTTGTCATTTTCCCCACCCTTCTGTCTTCTGCCTTTTCTCTCCTTTATTGTCTTTTAGTCTCCAGTTCAAACTTTGTTCATGGTGAATAAATGCTTATGGAAAAAATTTAGAGTAGGATAAGTAGTGATTTCTTGGTAAATCATTTTTATTTCTTCAACAAATACTTTGTTCAGCACCAGCTGTGTGCTAAGCATTGTTACACATAAACATAATTTTCAGTAAAGCATAGTCCTTTAAAGGAACTATTTAAGCGACTGTCTCCCAGATAAAGCTCTGCTACTGTGGGTAAAAGGCACACCAAAAATCCATCGCCCACACTTTTCACCAAATTCTGTATGCCCATGTAAATGGTGAGGACCCACCCTTGTAAGTTTAAAGAATTTAGAGTGGCTGGATGAAGAGATGGACATCTATATCAAGTTCACTCTTTTATGAAATAGGAATCAGAGGATTTAAGAATTGATGATTAATGTATCTGAATTGCAGTTAACATATTCACAATTTTACACCTCAATTTAGGTGTAATTCATGAAGTGGTCTATCTAGACTTTTTATACAGTGTAGATGTGCTATTGTGTTGTGAATCAGTGTTGCATACGAAAATCTTACATGCTTTGCTTGTTTGCTGGGAATGCTTGGACGTCGTACACTGTGAACCTCAGCTACAACATTGAAAAGATAGATGCTATTTCTCCTTGTAAGTCAGCTCATGATCAAGAAATATCGTCTGTGTTCTTCCAGGTGTTTCTATCACTTGGCATCCTGAATGAAATCCCTGGGAGTCCTATGCTATAAACTCATCTACCAGAGACCAATCTGAAAAAATAAGCTCTTATTATAGACTAGGTCTTAGAATAAAGTAATTAATTCATAAATGAATTTACATGTTCAATTGTGTTATGGGTTGAATTGTGACTTTATTTGGAAATAGAGCCTTTGTAGATGTAATTAGTGAACATGAGGTCATACCGGTGTAGGGGTGGCCTTTAATCCAATAGGACTGGTATTCTTATTAAAAGGGGAAATTTGGACACAGGGACAGACACTCAAATGGAGAGAAAGCCAAATGAAGACTGGAGTCATGCTGCCACAAGATAGGGAACCGTCGGAAGTCAGAAGAGAAGCCGGGAGCAAGTCCTGCCTGGAGCCTTCTGAGGGAGCATGGCCCTGTGAACACAGTGATCTTGGACTTCCATCTCCAGGATTACAATACATTGTTGTTCTTTAAGCCATTTACTTTGTGGTACTTTGTTATGGCAGCCCTAGGAAACTTATACAGTTAGTATTTGAGTTACCTATTTTGTTAAATGATAAAGACAAAATAATATAGTGAAAAGTTTGCAGTACCTTTCACCAACTGTCAAATCAAGAAATGTCTGTTTCTGTATCCTCTCAGAAGCACTGCTAGAAACAGGAGTGAGATAAGGATGTGAACCTGCTAACTGAGGAGTAAATCAGGTGCTAACATTGGATGTCTTGAGGGAAATTGATAATTTATCCACAGTAGATGAAAAACAATAAAAAATATTCACTGTGGGCCTATTAAGTCAGAAACCAAAATCCCTCAGCCAAGTTTATGAATATCCCCAGAATCCTTGAGTGTTCTAATCTCCCTTTATGCTGCAGAGGTAGCTATAAGATAAGTAAAATCTGAAACACCCAGGTCCTTATTGATTATGCATCAACAGAGGCTGGAAGATTTTATTTGTTCTCCCAAGTGGATTGTGAGAGCCTCTTTCTAACAACATGCCGGTGCACAGCTAAATGAATCAACCTTTTAAAAAAGGTGACAATACAGAAAAGAGATGCAGTGCCACATTTAAGGGTCTGAGGACACATCTCTGAAAGTGAAATACAACAAAAACCTGGGCTGCCAACATCCTCCACTGGGCAGGGAAACGATGCAAGCGACTACAGGGTCTTAAGAGAAGATAATACAGAATGAAACAGAGCAAAACAGAAAAATAAGGTGGAAATTTAATGAACGACATTAATAAAAGTATGGCTAGGTGAGAAAATCTGACATTTCCGGATTTTAGCTACAGTACCAAATTGACCTTGAAACTTGTATGTATAAGATCAATGCAAAAATAATGCCTTTAATCTTAAATGTGTGGGTTGCTTTTTAAAGCACTTAATATATATCATTTCATATTTACACATACCTTTTAAATTTTAGTCTCTTATTATTTTGCAGAGGCAACCTGAAGCCTAGAGAAGTTTAATGTAATTCGTAGGGCCAAACAGCTAACTAGCTGGAGGTTAAATATGACCCCAAAACCAGTGCTCTGTACTATAGCTCTGAAGCAACAGAATGTCCCTTTCAAGACTGACCATTTTTCAGTGAAAAAAAAAAGACATTTTAGTATCTGTCGTAATTTCCATAGCTCAAACTGATAAATCTCTGTAACAGTGATGTACTTAAGAATTTACATATTTCCACCTAAAATCACCTAAGGGTCGAAAGGCTTGATCTCCACCTGATGTAGAACATCTGTATTAACATTGTTACTCCTTACCACTGAAGAAACAGGACAATTCTCCAATCTATAGGAGTTAGTGACCAGGAAGAGTGCTTTGAAAACATCGTCCTGTGATGCCGTCTCTACAGGTAAGAGCTGTGGCTTTCCTGTCTCCATAGGAGTAAGGAAAGTAAGGTCTAGAGATTAGATGCTATGAATCATCTCTTATGTATATCTGATGAAGCTTTATTTTTTGGTTGCCAAAAACTAAATGGTCTTACTGGGGGAAGGCCTGCCAAGTTGGACACCTGTCATAGTTTTGCTTTCCTTGGTATTATTAGACATGGTGCTATAACCAATCTGTTTCAACAGTGCCTGCAGCACACCATTTCTGCCAAAATCCCTGGTCTTAAAGAACTGTGCATAGCTTTACTTGTCCTTGTTCTAAGCGGGGGAATCCCCCTTTAAACAACTAGGAAGCTGCAGTTTGCATTTTAAATTGATTCTTTAACTTTTAAAATGTGTCTTCTCAAATGCCCTCAAAAGAAGCAGAACTGAAAGCATAGGTGAAATCCAAACATATGTGCAGAGACAGGAAGTTAGAAAGTAAAGGAAGTTGACAAGTTAGAAAGTCAATGGCTGCACTTTGGCCGTTCACGGGTCACCTTTAAGATGTTTGCTATATCTGCACACCACAAGGATTGCCGTTGACTGCCTATTTTCTTCAAATCAATTACTTAGTTTCTCTCAACATCCTAGACAACAATATCTTTAAAATTCATAGGTTTTTATATACAAGTTATAGATGTTAAATATATTTCTATTAAAATAAAAGAGTATTCAACTTTGTACCACTTAATGTCATTTGCATTGCAGTTTTAATGTACTCACCGGGGACTGTGTGGGCTAAAGCTGCCAACAAAGTAATTGCTAGTTTTCTCCTCATCCCTAGTCCCTCACCCCACACCACAGCCTCAGTTGGAAAACAAGTTAAAATAAGAGCTCTTCCAGAACTCAGATCTTAGGCTGTGAGTCAGTTCACCCACCCTCCCTCCTGTTGGGCTTATATGGAGATGTTATAGGTCAACCCTGAGTAAATTTTTCTTCCATTAGGATCACCTTTTCTTCCCAAGCTTCCTCAGTCATTCTTTCAAATAGAATTATGGTGGGTAGACTCTGTTCAACTAAGGCATTGGTTATCTCCAGTCAGAGGATAAACAGAATAGAGTTTTCTACTATTATTACTTCTCCATAAAGGCACATCTGTATGGATCCTTTCCTTGGTAGTATCTTAAATGGGTTTTACTTTTTACTTTTCTCCTCTTTTGGGTCACATCGTTTCCTTAGAATTGTTCTAGTTTTTAACAACTAGTAACTAACAGGAGGTTGCAAGTAACTAGTAGTCTATAGGTCTATATATATATATATATATTTTTTTTTTTTTTTTTTTTTTTTGCGGTACGCGGGCCTCTCACTGTTGTGGCCTCTCCCGTTGCGGAGCACAGGTTCCAGACGCGCAGGCTCAGCGGCCATGGCTCACGGGCCCAGCCGCTCCGCGGCATGTGGGATCTTCCCGGACCGGGGCACGAACCCGTGTCCCCTGCATCAGCAGGCAGACCCTCAACCACTGTGCCACCAGGGAAGCCCATATAGGTATATTTTATTTAGTTGGTATTATCATGGCTCGGTGCTTAAACAAACAAACACGTGGTGAGAATTTTTGTATTTATCCCATAGTTTTAGGGAGAAATTCCAGGAGCTTTAGAATGAAAGGAAATTCTAATAACATTTAGCCAAGTTCCTCACTTGTTTTACAAATGAGGAGCAGATGTTTTACAGAAACTAAACCCAGAGAGACGCAAGAATGTGCCCATTTTATATAAACAGCTCTTTCATGATTGGGTGAAAATCCCGGGTGAACTGACTCACAGCCTAAGATTCCCTCCATTATGAGATGTGGTCTCTCCAGATCCTTGAGATGACTATACATCTCATTTTCATAATAAATGCTTAAATCACACGCATGTGCGGAAAACCTTCTCAAACTTAGTGCTCTTGAGATTGAGAAATCACACGGGATGCATACAGAACCTTGCCGTAATGTAGAATCCAAAAAATATCTTGTCAGCATAATCAGAAGGAAAATATGCGTGGTGGGAAGTTACAGAATATAGAAAGAAGGAGGGAAGCCTTTCAGTCCATATTAAAACATTCAACTTTTTCCTTTTTTCCCTTTCTCCCTTTTTCCTAGTAAATCAGAGTCCCAGCTACAATGCATTAAGCCGTGGCCTAATCAGCGGTGAGAGATGGTCTGAGGTCTGCTTCAGTGAGTGAGAAGCTGGCACTAAAGGCATTTAAGCATTTTCCAGCCATTTCACCCGGTTGATTATAATGATTGTTGATTGTAATGATTTTTGAGCCATTCTATATTATGGGAAATGTTAAAATCTGTATTGTCTGAGAGCTCACACGTTTGAAAAGAAAAACAGTGTAGGGGATGTGCAAGTGGAGAAGCAACCACTAGTTGTGGACAGTAGCTAATCTAATAGCTGCATTTTTTTCTTTGATAGATTGAAGTGGCTCTTTATCAATGCCAACAACTCCCCACTGCTCTGGCCTCCC